GGGCAACAAGATGAAACCCCGTTTCTACTAAAGTACTAAAAAATCAGCCAGGCATGGCGGCAGGCACCTATAGTCCCAGCTACTCAGGATGCTGAGGCAGGAGAAATGATTGAGCCTGGGAGGTAGAAGTTGCAGTGAGCCAAGATTGTGCCACTGCACTCCAGCCTGGGTGACAGAGCGAGACTCCATCTCTACAGAAAAAGGGGGGTGGGATTCTGGCCAGGTTCAGTAGCTCATGCCTGTAATCCCAGCACTTTGGGAGGCCAAGGCCAGGGGATCACCCAAGGTCAGGAATTAGAGACCAGCCTGCCCAACATGGTAAAACCCCATCTCTACTAAAAATACAGAAATTAGCCAGGTGTGGTGGCACACACCTGTAGTCCCAGCTACTCGAGAGGCTGAGGCAGGAGAATTGCTTAAACCCAGGAGGTGGAGGTTGCAGTGAGCTGAGATCTCACCACTGCACTTCAGACTCAGTGACAGAGGGAGACTCTCAAAAAATTTAAAAAATTAAAAAATTAAAATAAATAGAAAAAGGGTTCTGAGATCCAGGAAAATTAGGAAACCTTAAATTAACAAAGCCAAAGTCTTTTTACTAAACAATTTCTCACTCTTCAATGTGTTTATGTGTCCTGTAAATCTCCAAGAGCAAGCTCTGACACAGCGTTTTGCAACTATTTGTTCATTATAGGCCATCTCTCCCCCAGGAGTCTTTTTAGACGATTTTACTAATCACCCTTTCCTTCCTTCTCACTCTCCCCCAAAATTAAATACTAAGGAATAGATTTTACTAGGGGGCCACAAACCATTGTACTAAGATTCTTTGCCCCTTAAGAACCATTTGACCCCTTTGGGGATGATAGCACCTCAGTTCAGAAGCATGACCTAGTGTGAAATGCTTCTTGTATTAGTCTGCTCTCACATTGCTCTAAAGAAATACCTGAGGCCAGGTGCAGTGGCTCACGCCTATAATCCCAGCACTTTGGGAGGCCGAGGTGGGCAGATCACCTGAGGTCAGGAGTTTGAGACCAGCCTGACCAACATGGTGAAACCCTGTCTCTACTAAAAATATATAAATTAGCTTGGTGTCATGGTGTACACCTGTAATCCAAGCTACTTAGGAGGCTGAGCAGGAGAATCGCTTGAACCTGGGAGGCAGAGGTTGCAGTGAGCTGAGATCACAGCATTGCACTCCAGCCTGGGTGATGTGAGTGAGACTCCATCAAGAAAGCAAGAGAGAGAAAAGAAAAGAAAAGAAAAGGAAGAAAGAAAGAAAAAGAAAGAAGAAAGAAAGGAAAAGAAAGAAAAAGAAAAAAAAGAAAGGAGAGGGGAGAGAGGGGAGGGGAGGAAGAAAATACCTGAAACTGGGTAATTTATAAAGAAAAGACTAATTGGCTCATGGTTCCATAGGCTATACAGGAAGCATGGCAGCATCTGCTTTTTGCAGAGGCCTCAGGAAACTTACAATTATGGTGGAAGGCAAAGGGTAAGCAGGAACATCTTAGATGGCCAGAGCAGGAGGAAGAAAAGAGAGTGGGGAGGTGCTACACACTTAAACAACCAAATCTCACGATAACTTACTCACTATCACTAGAACAGCACCAAGAGGATAGAGCTAACTCATTCATGAGAACTCCGCCCCCATGATCCAGTCACATACCACCAGGCACCACATCCAACACAGGAATTACAATTCAACATGAGATTTGGTGGGAACATAGATCCAAAGTATATTACTTCTCAAACTCATTTTGAGGAGGGAGACCCAGGCATTTGGGATTCCCTCCCTCTCTGTCGTCCACTGTGCATCTCAATAGAAGAGAGAGCAGGCCAGCTGGTGCCTCCTGAATCTCCTTCCTGAAAACGACAGGCTAGGCCTTGGGGAAATTCTCCAGAAGGCACTATTTTTACTTAAAACAAGATCAAACCAGAAACCTTTTCATATGTGAGTCCTAAAACTATGAACCTAAGATTCTTCCACATGTAACATCTAAAGTATAAGCCTATATAAAGGCTGAACCTCCCTTTGTTAGAGGAGTTTGGCTGTTAGGCACATATGCCACCAAGCCCCCAGCTGAAATAAATTCCTTCCTCCTGTATTCGGTGTCTGAGAGATCCTTTCCCGAGGCCGCTCCTGCTACACTTTGACCACAGACTTTTTTCAACTGGACCGGTGTTCCCAGGAACACACTATGGGAAGCCCTAATTTAGCTAGTATGGGATATTTTAACATTTCATTGGTCTCTTCTGACTCACAGGCAGAGACTTCTCTTCAATAATTAAATTCCTGGCAGAAGACTATTACAAGGAGAGGAGTTTTATAAAAGGCTGTTGATTGAGAAAACTTGTATCTGCCACCGTTCTCCCCTCTGGCCATCATTCCCAGTTTGGGATGAGAATTTTATACTAGTCAACTTTTTAAAAAAATTATGGTATAATATACATACAGTGTATAATGTGCTCTAATCTTAAGAGTACAGCTTGATAAATTTTCATGGGTGAATGCTGAAGGAAACCAGATTCTGTCACATCAAAATATGCCTTTTTGACTTTTTTTTTTTTTTTTTTTAGCTAAAGGCAATTAAGAAGCAGATGTAGGGAGAGCTCTGCCTTCTTTTTGTCTGGCTAAAAGCAGGACAGAGAATTACAGAGACAAAAGTTCTTTCTCCCCACCCACCCTGCTTTCCTGCCTAAAGACAGGATGTAAATTCTTCTTTACAGCCTTTGTCAGCTTAGAGACAGTGCCAGAGGAATTGAAGCAGACTTTACTCCATTAGTTTCCCCATAAATTTACCTTCCTACATTTTCCCACCTCTAGCAGCTTGGGACTGCTTTTCCTTTTTCTTGTTATGTTTCTAAAACGTATGGTGCTATATTAGACATACTATATAGGCCAGACTCTTAAGCTACTGCTTAGAGTTACTTTATCCCACATTTTGTATACTGCATGTGTTATTAAACTTGCTTGCTTTTCTCTTGTTAATCTGTCTTTTATTGCAGGAGTCTGTCCCAACTATAAACTTATGAGGGCTGATGGAATACTATTTTTTATTCCTGTCAATACACACCCAGTTCAGGATATAAGCACTGAATTACTGATCAGAAAACCTCATCAATATGAATCATTATGGCTCGGCCTGGCACCTGCTGCCATGCACCTGGGAGGGATGCTAAGCCGTGGGCTGACACACATGGCCATCGTGCCCCTGGACCTGGTCAAGTGCCACATGCAGGTGGATCAGAAAACCTTAAAAAGGAAAATAAATCCTTGCCTTCCCATCATCCACATACTGTAGTATGTAGTTTTCAAACTTTAGTGAAGTTTAGTGAAGAATCCACCTATGAGTGTATTAAAATCACTTATTTCTACTCATAGAGATTCCCATTCACACAGTCTAGAGTGTGAGCTGAGATTTTTAATAAAGCACACCAGGTGATTCTGATGCAGGTGGTCTGTGAATCACGACCGTGAGAAACACAGGCCTGCCCTACAGGATAAAAGTCAAAGTCCCAAATAAGACACTAAGGCCTTTCCTAATTCAATCCAATTTTATTTTTCTAGGCTCAACCCTTGCTGATTTCTATCATACTGAATTAATCACCTCTCCTCAGTAGGAAATGCACTTGGTTTGTTTCCTTTAAGCTGAAATTGCCTTTCTATTCTTTTTTATGTGGCAAACTCCTACTTACCCTTCAAGACTCAGCTACACTGTCACTTCCTCAGGGAAATCTTCTGAACCTCATCAGGCAAAATTAGTTGCTCCTTCACCGTTCATCTAGAACTTTATTCAAATTCTGTTACAGGCTGGGCATGGTAGCTCATGCCGGTAATCCCAGCACTTTGGGAGGCTGAAGGAGGCGGATTGCTTCAGGTCAGGAGTTTGAGACCACACTGACCAACATGGTGAAACCCCATCTCTACTAAAAGCACAAAAATTAGCGGGGTGGGGTGGCACATGCCTGTAATCCCAGCTACTCAGGAGGCTAAGGCAGGAGAGTCGCTTGAACCCAGGAGGCAGAGGTTTCAGGGAGCCAAGATCATGCCACTGCACTCCAGCCTGGGCGGCGGAGTGAGATTCTGTCTCAAAAAAAGCAAACAAAAAACAAATTCTGTTATAGTACTTATCAAAATACTGATTTTTTTTTCTTTAAAAAAATCTTGTTTAGAAGCAAGCAGGAGTGTGTCTGGTTCTTTGCTGAACCTCCAGCCCTGCACAGTGCTCAGCACGGAGTGGGTAAAGGAATGGATGATGTATGCTACTAATTTATACCTGGAGTCATTTAGTTCTCATTTTTCAGGCCAATGAAACTGCAAGATTCCCAAAAGAACAGGGCTTTTGACTCACTTTCGTATTCTCCAAAATCAGTAGTCAATGAAAAGAAAATACCTGGCAAGTGAAAATAATCAGCACACCCCCCTCCTAAAGTCAGCGAGTGCTCCATGCTTCCTAGGCTCCCACTACAACCGTCGTTGGGAGACAGGAGTCGTGTGTGAGCTGGAGGAAACTGTCACCTACCTGCTAGGTGAGAACGTTATGTAAGGCGGGAAGCCACAGGCTGTCTCTGCGCATTCGCACCATGGAACGCCGCTGCCATGGAGATGACCGTTCCCCTAAACCGGCATCGTTGGGTAAGGACTTGAGAAAGGCCTCTCAGGAAGGCAACAGTGCATGGCGACTCTTCACCCCCTCGCCTACCTCCTCATCTACGTACTCGCCTATTCCTGCGTTTACTCGTGTCTCTACTTGTTGGTTTATTTTCTTCGAATTTTTGTAGAGGACTAGGCAGCCGAGCTGGACCAAAGTCACCAAGGTAGTGAAGACTCGGCCCACCACCCAAGGTGAGCTCTGGGACCACTGAACACTGGCCAGGTGCGGCGGGCGCGGGTTCCTGCAGCTACCAGGAGCCCATTGGGCTGAAAGGGCAAAGGGGCGGGACGTGTTGGGGGCGGGGGAAGGGGCGGGGCAATGCCGCCTACTTAAACCGTTGGGCCACGTAGCGCACTGCGCAGGTGCAGGTCGAAGCGCTGTGGGCCGGGTGGTCTGCTCTCGCCTGGACCGTTGGGTGGGCGGGCTCGCGGGGGAGGTTCAGGACAGGGTGTTCCTGCACCCAGCGCGGCCATGGATAACCCTGGCGGCCGCAGTGCGCTGCAGGCAAGAAGCGTGGGCGCAGGCGGCTGCAGGCCGTGGGCGGCAGCCGCGGAGGAGGCCAGCGTGGAGTACGGCTCCGCCCGGTACCTGCTGCTGTGCGGCTTGGGCGGGATGCTGAGCTGCGGACTGACGCACACGGCCATCGTGCCCCTGGACCTGGTCAAGTGCCGCATGCAAGTGGATCCCGGCCGGTACAAGGGCATCCTGAGCGGCTTCGGCGTGACAGTGCGCGACGACGGGCTGCGCGGCCTGGCCCGCGGCTGGGCCCCGACCTTCTTCGGCTACTCTCTGCAGGGCTTCTTCAAGTTCGGCCTTTATGAGGTCTTCAAGATCCGCTACGCGGAGCTTCTGGGCCCAGAGAAGGCCTACGCATGGAGAACCGGCCTGTACCTGGTGGCCTCGGCCAGCGCCGAGTTCTTCGCCGACATCGCGCTGGCGCCCATGGAGGCAGTCAAGGTCCGCGTGCAGACGCAGGCAGGCTACGCCAGCACCCTGCGGGCCGCGGCGCCCAGGATGTATGGCGAGGAGGGCCTGTGGGCCTTCTACAAGGGCGTGGCGCCGCTGTGGCTGCGGCAGATCCCCTACACCATGATGAAGTTCGCCTGCTTCGAGCGCACGGTGGAGGCGCTCTACAAATACGCGGTGCCCAAGCCCCAGAGCCAGTGCACCAAGGCCGAGCAGCTGGGCGTCACCTTCGTGGCCGGCTACATCGCCGGCGTCTTCTGCGCTATCGTGTCCCATCCCGCTGACTCGGTGGTGTCTGTGCTGAACAAGGAGAAAGGCAGCACGGCCCTGGGCGTCCTCCGAAGACTGGGGTTCGTGGGCGTGTGGAAGGGCCTCTTTGCGCGCATCCTCATGATCGGCACCCTAACGGCCCTGCAGTGGTTCATCTACGACCTGGTCAAGGTGTATCTCAAGCTGCCTCGCCCTCCCGTGGCACAAGCGCCCGAACCGCTGAAGAAGAAAAAGTAGGCATGGAGTTGTGAGCCGTTGTAGACACAGTGGGTCCAGATTTCCATCAACTAGGGAATCAGATGCACACAGCGCTAGTGTGTAAGATGTTAACATTTTGGGGAGAGGTTACTTAATATGCAGTCTGAGTTCTCTTTAAATGACTGATTGCTTCTTTTTGGCAATTCCAGAGGATTGCAAACGTTTCGTTTGGGGGTTTGAACCATTATCTTTGGGGAGTTGGCATGGTTGCTTTAAACTCAATAGCTCTTCAGCAATTAAAAGGAAAAAATTCTTGACAGTAAGTAATGTTAGGTAGTTTAGGGTCTCTAGGTGTTATCTCCTTTGATTCGCCCTTTCTGTAGAGATTATCCAAGCATAACTACTGAACAGCCTACAAATGAGGTTTTAAGGTCAGCACAACTATATGGACGGGGAACAAAGTGAGATTCTGGTACGTGGTGTTCATCTCAATAGAAATCCGGCACCTATTGAATAGATGAAGGACTCGTCGCATATTTCCTGTTCATGTCCATTACAGGTAAAAATTATTAAACGTTAAATTGTGACTTATACTGCCTGGTAGCTTAGAATGTATTCGCTGTTTTCAAAGAGACATGAGAAGATCTGCATTTTCTCCTTTTGCTTTGTCCCTTCTCTTCCTGATGTTGCTGATTAGAACATAGCTCTCTCCAGGAAGTGCCACAATTGGATCAATGTGGAAAGCCAGAAAGAGATGAAGGGCAGGCTCTGGGAATAAATATGTAAAGAAAAGCCTCTGTTCTCCAAAGATTTCTTTTGTATAACTCAGCTTTCAACAGCCATACATCCAAAGAAGACCATACCCCCCTGACATTTAAAAAAAAAAAAAGTGAAGAAAAAACCCCAAACCCTGCAAATTCCAACTACTGTCTGTTGAATATTAAAAAATGGTTTTGGTTACTTTGGAGGGAAAATCTCACGTTAAGTATAGTAAATGCTCCACTTAATTTGGTAGATGTTTCAGTAATCTTTAAAATGGTTGAGATTCATAAAATTTATTGAAATTAAAAGCATGTTTTTGGGTCTCTGTAGCCTTCACATCTCTGATTGGGGAAATTTTACAATCAGTGAAATTCTGTGGATTAGAGATGTTTGTAAAATGTGTATAAGAAAGTTCAATAAGGCATTTGATATAACTTACCAAAATGTAACGTGATTGCCTTAAAAAGTTATTTAAATTAGACTACAAACTTAGAATATGTTAATGTTTAAACTTTGTAATAGTAAACTGTTTAGCAGTTAACAGAAGTTTAAAAGTGTCTAGATTTAAGTATGTCTGAATTGTCTTGGTTGAATAATAAAGAGATGAAGGAAAAAGTCAACTTTTGAATGAAATGGAATGAAATTTATTCATATTTAATTCTTCTATTTATCATATTGGGAGGGATCATTATCTATTGTTAAGACACCTCAGTTTTCCTTAGGAGGTTAGTGTCCAAGTTTGTTGAAAAGGAGTTATCAGTGAAGGAGAATGTTAAATTTAATGCAGATTCATTTTTGTAAAATTTTTAAGCAAATACATTTCGGTCTGTTGTCTTGTAAAATGTAGGAAGTACTTAAACAATTTTTATGTACTTTTAGTAATATAATTTTGGAAATTGCTGCAAAATCTGTGGCTTTCAAGGTAGTAAGAGACCACTTGTTCTGGTCTGTGGTATTTCATGATTGTTCTGTTGATAATAACAGAAAATTTTTGTAATATATATGGTATATGGGTTTATTGGCCAGGCAGGTGGCTCACATCTGTAATCCTAACAGCTTAGGAGGCCAAGAAGGAAGAATCACTTGAGGCCAGGAGTTCAAGACCAACCTGGGCAACATAGTGAGATTCCCTAGCTACTTGGGAGACTGAGGTGGGAAGATCACTTGAGACCAGGAGTTTGAGATTACACGAGTTTGAGGCTATGATCGTGCCACTGCACTCCAGCCTGGGTGAAGAGCAAAAGAATTTACTTAGTTTGGGCAGCAGTTTTCATATTCAGTTCCTGTACATTCTATTCCCCCCTCCCTTTTTTTTGGTGGCTTACAAATGTCTGAATAAAGAGGGAGGGATCGCTGACAATAGAGAACAGAGAATAAAGGTAATTTAAGTAAAGATAACAAGAATTCAGAATCATTAAGGTTTTTCCTAGTTATTATTTCCTTGGAACAATTTAAATTTTTATTCAATGTTTTACCTTGACTATGTAGGAAACCAGAATATGCTGCCCCAAAGTATGAAGGATTGTTGAGCACCACTCTGCCCTCCACCTATTTGCCAAAGAGCAGGACATAAATTAACAATGACAAAAAGTACCTTGCCTACCTACCTACCAGACAGAACAAAGATTAACCACCGAAAACAACTTGACACTCTTACAGGCATAGAGATGATACTAGAGGAATCTGTATTAACAAGCTTTTACTAGCTAGCCTTTATGTGCAATTTATTGCCTTCCCCCAAGGTGCTGTCCCTAAAGTCTCAAAAGTCCTTTCCTAAATTTTCTCTTAATAAATATTTGCTGGGTTTTCTTTGAGACAGGGTCTCTGTTGCCCAGGCTGGAGTGCAGTGGTGTGATCACAGCTCACTGCAGCCTTGACTTCCCCAGGCTCAGGTGATCGAGCCTGAGCCCACCTCAGCCTCAGCCTCCTGAATAACTGGGATTACAGGCACACACTACCATGCCCAGCTTTGTGTGTGTCTCTCTGTGTGTGTGTGTGTGTGTGTGTGTGTGTGTGTGTTGGTGGAGACAGGGTTGTTCTATGTTCCCAGGCACATACCACCATGCCCAGCTTGTGTGTGTGTGTGTGTGTTGGTGGAGACAGGTTTTTTCTATGTTCCCCAGGCACATACCACCATGCCCAGCTTGTGTGTGTGTGTGTGTGTGTGTTGGTGGAGACAGGGTTTTTCTATGTTCCCCAGGCTAGTCTGGAACTCCTGGGCTCAAGTGATTTACCCACCTTGGCCTCCCAAAGTGCTGGGATTACAGACGAGAGCCACCATGCCTGTCCCGCTGTTCTTTGTTGAAGATGATATATAAACTGAAATTCAAAGCCACCTCTTTGAAAACTACTCATTCTCAGTATCTCATGTATATGTGAAATAATAAGCTTCTCTTTTTCTCTTAATTTGTCTATTGCAACAGGTTAACTCCAACTAAGAACTTATGGGGGTTATTCTTCCCTTATATCTGTAATTAACATTTTCTGTGAAATCATGCATATCTTATTCGAATAATAAAATCCATAGCATACATCTGGCATTGTTAGGCATTTTACATTCATTTTCTCATATAATCACAATTCTTGTTTCTATATAAAACTAAGACTCAGATGCTAGATAACTTGCTCAAAGTAATGTAGCTAATGAGTGGTATAGTCTAAGCCAGAGTCCATATGTTCGTTGTTACTCCAGCTTAGCACCTTGATATAACCAATGACTATCATTTTCTTGAACTGTTTTTTATAGTACCTTAAAATTATTTCTTAAAAAAATTTCAGGTGGGGGGAAGTGGTGCAGGCTTGTAATCCTGCACTTTGTGAGCCTGAAAAAAAAACTATGTGCATTCGATAAAGCTTTCCTCATTTTGTACCAGGGAGGAGTTTGCAGCGTGTCTTACTTGTGGAAAACCTATGGAAAAATTGTCTAGAAATAAACTGTAAAATAGTCAATATTCAATTTATTATTTAAGTCATTTGCTTACCAGCTCAGTGCCTCAGTTCTAACTTGAGGGGACTGATCATAAATGCAGCACTTTTGCGTGCGTGTGCGCGTGTGTGTGTGTGTTGTGTGTGGTATTACAGTTTCAGCAAAAGGCTTTATCACAGTTTTTTTCTCTAATCTTAGTTCCTACAGCTAAGGAAACTATATTAGCCTATTTATCTTTTCCCCCACGTGGTGATCAAAGTAGCTTTCTCAAGTATATGAAATTAATTTCATGATAGCTGTAATCTCATCCATTGATCTGTCCTTTGAGAAGTAAATAAAGGAAGTAGGTAAAAATCTTAAAAAGCTAAGGTCATATTTACATGTTAATATCACATGATAAAGATGAGAAGGAATCAAAGTGTTAATATTATGAGTACTTTTTCTTGCTGCACAAGTCTTTAGAAAGTCTTTCTTTTGAGCCTTTGGAAGGCAAAATAATAAGGCAAAATAATCACTGAAGTCAGATCACATTTTGATAGACACCCATTCAATTACATTATGCTTGCTTTTTGTGGTCTTGAAGATCAGTTATTTTTTAAATCATGAGCAAAGAACCATTTGAAAGGTAATTTAAATTTTATTATCACTTAGGAGACTTTGTCTTGGTTTCCTGAATTCTACTATTTGGGTTGGTGTGTGAATAGGGTAGGTATTAACGATGTGATTATAACTACATGTGTGTGTGTGTGTGTGTGTGTGTATGTGTCAGTATATTTTGAGAGCTTCAGCCAAAATTTCAGCAGCATTGTTGTAATTCTGCCCATGCCCAAGTCTAAAACACTACCAACCAATATCTACCATGTGCCATGCGCTGTGCTAGGCAGAAAGGTTTTGTGATGAGCGTAATACACGGACCCTTCCCTTGGCGATCTTACAGCCTGATGGGAAGAATAAATTATGTAGGGGCAAAGGGGAAAACTTCTCATTCACCCTCTGAAGTTTCACTGAAAAATCAACTCATAAAAGGCAGATTACTAAGAGAAAAGGCATTCAATTTATTAACATGTACATAGAGTACGTCAGAATGATGACCCAGTACTCCAGTGGGGTGCAGAAGCTTTTATACCATCTTGAGGTTACAGAAAGAATGGGGTCCTGGATTGTGGCAAATCAGGTTATGGCGGCATACACACACAAACACACACAAGGCTATGGGAGGGAGAGAAGAGAAGGCCTGACTAGCAAAGGTGGTCTTGTTATGTAGGTGAAATTCTACAGGTAGTAGCCCTCAGAGAAAATAGATGGTGTTTCTTTCAGACCTTTAAAGGTGTCAGACTCTCAGTTAATCTTTCCTAGATCCAGACAAAGGAAAGCCTGGCTGCATCAATGCAAATTCTCTACAGATGTAAATCTCCCCCACAAAAGACAGCTTTGCATGCTTACTTCTGTTTGCTGGCTCTCTGACAGCCATCTCAAAATACGTCAAGGAAATATATTTTAGGGTGAAATATTTTTATTTTCTTCAGTCCCCACTTTGAAGCTTTAAAAGGTTTCACACATCAAAAGCCAAGCCAATAGCTTTGGAGCGATTTGGATTAGAAGTTGTCAGCTACAGATGTACAAAGGAGTGGAAAAACAAATTAGGATAAACAGAAAAGAGTAAATTTAAGTGTATCGTTCTGTATTTTCTTGGATCAGTCTCAGCCCTGAGAATAGATGAGTTTGGTTAAACAGTTGTGACCTGTTCCAGGAGGTGTCATTGCAGACTGGCTCTCTCTATATGATGCTGGCAAACAGATCTTTAATAAGAGGCATTTCTATGGAAACAGAAGAAAAAAGTTAATGTCTAGAGTAGTCTATAGACAAGCTTTCCTAGCATCTCTGAAGCACCTTCAGATTGCAGTGGCAACTTCAGACTATAGTTCGAATCAGGTGTTTAAATGAACTTTTTCAGTAGGCCATACTTCAGCAAGCATGAAAGCTGTTTATATGTAAGTTGCTGAAGTTTGTTTAAGTTGTCTAGCTTCAGTTTGCTGGGCTTTAAGGAAGGCACAGTTTTAACTATTTCTAATGATTCCAAGTCAGAGAAATTTGAAAATGTTAGTTTGGAGACATATAGCCAGAAAGGAATTCAGAATTGAGTCCAAATTATAGGAAAATAACAAAAACTCAAAAACAGTGGACAAGGCTAGAACCTAATAATATGTGTCCTATGATTTTTCTTTTGAAACATAATTTTTCTGTCTCCTGTCCCCTACTTTGATCAACGACAAATCATATTAAGACAAATTTATTTGCAAAATAAGTTTTAGTCTTGGCCAGGCGCAGTGGCTCATGCCTGTAGTTGCAGCACTTTGGAAGGCTGAGGCGGGTTGATCACAAGGTAAGGAGATCGAGACCATCCTAGCCAACATGGTGAAACATCCTGCATCTACTAAAATACTAAAAATTAGCCTGCCATGGTGGTGCGTGCCTATAGTCCCAGCTACTCAGGAGGCTGAAGGAGGGAATCTCTTGAACCTGGGAGGTGGACGTTGCAGTGAGCTGAGATCACGTCACTGCATTCCAGCCTGGTGATGAAGTGAGACTCTGTCTCAAAAAAAAAAAAAAAAAGTTTTAGTCTTATTATGCTTGGACTGATTATTTGCATAAAATGTAGTAATAATAGTGATTGGCCAT